ATTATTGCATAAATCATGTTCGTAAGCTGAGTAAATCAGAGTACTATACATTATTGTAATAGCTTTTCTGTACGTTTATCAATTATCTTATCTGTCAGTTTATAATAATTATTTATAAGTTTGCTAACTTGAACGAAAAAACTTAGATAGGTGCAGATTTTATATAAGAATTTAAAACATTAGTATATAAAACGTGGATTTTATATAAAAAACTCCTCGAATCTAGGCTTTCTTCCTTTTCTTAATGCTATACGTCGAAATTTTCCTTTTTTTATATAGACTTATCCATTTATTATCAGTATGCATCTCAGTGAAAGGAGAGAAAATTGTCTCGAACTCACACAAAAAGTCTTAAGAACTGAATTAAAATATCTGATGTCAATACTCGACTAAAGCAAATTTTTATTTCCAGTGGTCAAGGGAAATTATTCCTTTTTATTTTTCTTCATGTTACATACCTTTCAACTAGTTCCCTAAGAATGTGCTTTTATTTTTTAACAATTAATCCACATGTGATAAAAATCATCATGAAAACATTGCCCCCTGGAATCCTCGATTTTTTTTTTTAAAGTGCATTAAATTTATTGGGAAAGGGGCTCAGGAAAATTTTTTGCATAGGGGCCTAAGAGTTCTAGTTACGCCACTGCATGTGAAGCATCATATCTGATGTTTTCACAACTTTTATTTTTATTGATCAAAGCCAAATTTTTTAAATTTATTTTCCAGGTTATTATTATTACAGCTTTTTTATCAAAATTAAAATCTGAACTTTTTTACTATATCAAAAAGAGATCCTAATGTGTGAGCTGTAGCAGAATGTGCAAAGCAAAACATACTTGGTGTTTGCCTTCTAAAGCTTCCTAAAAATGGCTATGCAATTCAGCTTAAAAATATATGATTTCATATTTTTCAAAATAACAGGCTTATTTTCATGTAGGTTTTGAATGCTATAGAAGGCAAAATTTTTCAGTTAATGGAATTTGTGAAGAAATATAGAAAAGTGATAGTAAATGCTGGTATAATGGAAGTTTTCCATTTTAATGACAGGGCTGCAACCAGCAATCAGGTAATGTATGACAAAATCTAGGATATTGTTTATAGTCCAGAAAATGTTGCTACTGATAGTGAGGGAACATATATAGACTAGACCAAGAAATGTGCAAGTTAGATGATTGACAACATATTCCAGAAAAGGATGCATGTTGGACTTCAGGTATGTAGTGTTAAAGTCGTGAAGGCAAAAGTGGTTGTTATTGGTAAACCCTAAGTTGAAAGCAAACACAAATAGAAGTCACTCAAGATCTGAATATCTCTCAAAGTATCATATCATGAGCTGTGGCACTAATATCCAGGTGTCATTTTATTTTTCATATGTTTACAAATAATAGGTTTCAGCTCATTTTAAAAGATAGCTTTTACTTAAATTATATGTTTATTATATAAGAGAATATTTTTTATATTCCTTTTCTTCTTTTTAGGTTAAGTTCTGTTCTATGCTTTGACAGTCTCCTTAAGGTATTATAAAAACAAACTTTTTTTAGACAACATGAGTGCCTCAAAGACTAGTCTGACGTATTTAAAGCAGTCTTACTTCCAAAGACATTTTCTGTTGCAAGGAAGAAATTTTGCTAAATTAGTACGGAAGCAAGATCCTGAAGAAGTAAAAAATATGCCAATATTTCAGTATGCTACAAAAAACACAAAACGGAGCAGACGAATCTATATGTGGGGAAATGCTGCTTGTGGGGCCTTGGGAAATGCTAGTTTTGTAAGACCTAGAATTCATAAATTTCCTTTGGCGAGCATGAACAGACCTTGGAGACTCCCATTTGCAGATTTCCATAAAGTAAGTATATTTTGTTAATGTTTAATTAATTATAATATCTTGAGAAATTATTGTGGTTTGTAATTTTGACTTAAATGAAGCATGAAGTGGCATTTCTGGTCTTTTTTAATTTCCAAAGATTTGTGCATGAAGTGAAGCATTCATAAGTATGAATCATAAATCTTAAATGTGTCCTCATCTTCAAGAAATATTTTGAATATTATTTGAAAGTTGATGCAGTACGAAGTCCAAAATCTGGACGCCAAGCAGTTGGGCTTCTGGGCCATCAGTCTAAAATAGATAAGTAAATGAAATAAAATAATAAAAATTATATATAAAAAAATCTGAATGTTTTCAGATTTATGCCCAAAGTTTTTTTTTTTTAATGTTTTGTGTGTTACCTGTATTTATTATATATCATATTCTTCGCACTTAAACCATAAAATTCAATTCAGCAGCAATATCACAAAATAGTTTTAAAATGAGCATATCTTTAGAATTTCTAATACACAGTCTTGTGCACTGGAGATAAAAATGTTCCCCCCGTACAGTGTTGCCATTGCTCACTTTAAAATCATTGAGTTTGTTAATCGAAAATGCATTAAAGTGTTACAAAATATGAAATCGATAATAAAACAGATTCCAAATAAGGGCATCCAGATGCCCATATTCAGTGGAGGATTACGTAAGTCAAAATTTGATGGCTCTAGGTACTGTTGTTTTATCACAGTACAAGAAACATACATACATCTATGCAGATTCTTCATTATTTAATTTCTTTAAATATAACACAGGGCGATACTATTTGGTGGCAACAATTCAAAAAGTGATTTGGTTTGGTTTATTAAGATTACGGCAAAGCTTACTTAGGGCTATCTGCCTAAGGGAAGGGAAGCCTTCGTGGAGGACTTTCTAAGGGAAATGGCTTGTATACACATTGCACATGGGGAAAACCACGAAAACGCCCATGCAGATAGCCCGTTCGCAGTATTCGAACCTCGGACTGCACTACCAGTGTTCAGCAACTTTCCCGCTCAGCAGCTGGTGGGCCGAATTCGAAAAGTGAAACAGTCATTTAAAGTGTTCAATGTAAAATGACAGAACAAAGTTGATGTACTTGGCGAAACGATTTTATATTCTCAAGTCCAACATTATTTTTTTAGGAACCATAACCTATTTGGATCTATTTGGAAGGAATACACAGGAATCTATGTGGAAAGAATAGTAGATTTTAAATTGAGCAAGTAAAGGAGTAAATTCACTCAGTAAGGTGAATCAGTTGTTTAAAACACTTTTGAAACAGATCATCATCCGACTCTGTGGGAAGTAGAAATCTAGCTCAAATGCTTTCAAGTTTTCAGATTATTAGATCATTACATAATTTTTTCTTGTGGTTTTTAGATTTAGGACTTCAAAAAATACCATTATTTTGATATTTTCAGTTAATTGAATGCTGATTACAAGAGATTTAGCTGTATGATAATGCATTTTATAAAATCTGTTGGGTAGAGTAGACTTTAAGGTACCCCCTGTATTATGGCGAAGTTGTTGTTTCATTTATGGTAGCCTGAGTAGTTGAATCTTATGGAAACCCTATTGTGACGTAATCGGGTGCATGATTTTGGGAAATTTTGAATCATGGGATGTTTTGTAAACGTTTTTGTGGTGTGTGTTGGTTTGATTCTTTAGACGGTAGAATGGCCGAATGTAGTAAGATAAATTTGAAGTTTCTGTACGATTTGGAGCGAAAGGGGAAAAGAGCTTTAATTGACTGATGTGTAAATGAAGGTTTACTTAGTAGCTATTATAAGTGTCCTGTATGTAGGAAGGATATGCAACGTAAAAACCGTTTAGAAGGATTTGAATGGGTTTGTAGGAAGAAAGTTCAGATGGTCACTATGTGAAGCGTTCGATCAGAAAGTGTACCTGGTTTGAAAAAATTCATTTGAGTATGATTGATATTTTGATTTTTACGTGGCTCTGGGTGTACGAAGTGAACTCGAAAATCATGGTAAGTGTATTTGCTTGTGGTAGTGCTTAAATGTATAACATGTTTTTCCTTTTTTTATGTTTTTATGTTTGTTTAAAATGTATTATGAGTTTTATTTTTATTCTTTGTTTTGCTTTTGTATATTATGTGTAGACAATATTTTTAAATAGTTGGCAATTCTAGATTTTTTTTTGTAAAGCACGTTATAGGTCCATTTCGTCTTACTTTCTTCGGGAACATGCAAGGACCTGACTCGGAACAGAGAGCTTACTAAAGCTATGTTCAATAACTGTGGGAAGTAGACAGGATACACAAGAAGGGTATACAAAACCCTTTATTTTTCTCTATTTACAATAACTTCCGTACTTCGGAATACAAAGACCCACTACTTGTGGTCTAAACGTAAAAATATAAAAATAAAACTAAACTCTAACTTAACTTTAAAATAATAAACCTGGAAGATTGGCCTTATATTAACAGGAAGCCGTATGTAGTACAGAGAACTGTGAACACTACAATACGTTTAAAATTATCAAGAGGATTAAACCTCTGGCCTGGAAGGCAACCAGCAACTGAGTAAAACTTCTAAGGTAAGCGGCCTGCTTCGACTAACTGCTTCCTCTCTCTCGCTTGGCAAAAAGCCACAACTTAAATACTTGGCGTTCGCCAGACAAACTTTGCATAAATACGTTAACGCTTATAATTCTGGCCGGAAGTAGAAAATAAGAAGTGATAGTAAAGATTTAAAATAAAATAAACGTTAGTAAAACTTAAGATCCTTACATACTTCCCGCCAGAGTTAATTAGTTTGAAACTGAGGTCTAAAACGACCTTGTTGAAAACTTTTAGCTCTAGAATCTAACGCGAGGCCAATCTTTTACAAACATTTTCGCTAGAAACTAGAAATTTAAAAGAAAGAAATTTGTTTTTACAATAGCAGCTCCCAGGACACGCAATTTTTTTCATCTGTACTGCATCTAAACAGGAGCTTTTATTCAAATCTGGTTCCTTCCAGAGATCTGGAAGGAAAACTAGTTTAATGAAATGTTACACAATGAAATGGCAAGTAACATGTATAATTATATTTCTCTTAACATTCTTATTTCATTCATGACTATTTTAATTATCTCTCCCCGTGCTCTCTGACATGTGTTGTAAAAGAACACCAAACACGAATGTGTTTATGTCTATACGTGTGTTCAACACTTCCTCCTACAATCAAAACACTAACGTGTTAAAATTCAACATACCAAGACCTCGTAACACACCCTAACTTCAACTCTAAACCCTGAGGTACTATTCTGAAAGTGGCTAACTCTGAAGTGTAGCGTCAGAGAGCCTAACTACGTTCATTCAACCTTTAACACATATTCACCATGATTTAGTCTTTTTACAGTCACACGAATAAAAAAAAATTTTTTAACATTACTTTCACTTTTACCATATCACGATATTTCTTAACATTTGAAATAACAGTTCACATTGTATATAAGAACATATTAACATGCCGTTAATTTTACGCATTTGAAAACATACATTAGTAGTACATTGTTAACTTCTATTCTTTTCAAAGCAAGTGCCAATTCTTTCTACATTGAAATACTACATTTCAAAAAGTCTTTCAGACTAAAACTTCTTTCTTGCCAGAATGTTTTAAATAAAATTTATACAATAACTTTTACAATATTTAAGTCTTTACACAATTGCTATTATACATCAACTTTAGTTTTACGCGCGAGTAATTGAAAAACATAATACCAAAATCGGTAACAACTCATTTCTCGCCTTTTTGGCGATAAAGGTAGACCTCGCATGAGGTAAAACTTCTTGAAATCTGCCACTTGCAGTAAGAATGAAAGATTAACTTAAGTTTGCAAAGTAACATAAAATTTTACTTATCTTTGTGATATTCGGACATTCTTTTCTGAGCCCAGTCCTGGAAGGTAGCGTAGATTTGTTTGATTTATCCTCCTTCTTGTGCGGGCTCGCCCTTCAGTGCCTTCCTCTAGAAGCTTTCTTTTTTTCCAGTTCGGTCACCCTTGAATACCTTCTTTTTCGCCTCTGCCTGTGGTCTTGGCCGTTTGATGGCAGCTGGTCTTGGCGGAACCGGGAAACTTCTTTCGTGTTCCTGCTTGGACCTCGTTGCTGGCCGTTCAAATTTTCCTTGTAACTTTTCCTCCGCCGCTGGTGGCCCTTCCGCAGTTCGGCGACATTTGCTGCGGAGAGTCCTGTCGGATGAGTAGATCTTCCGTTTTAGAGCCGGGTTATAGTTGCCGTCATTTCTCCTGGCTCTCTTTGCATACGTCGTCCTTCTCCCTTCTTCATTCTGGGGGTGTTCGTGAGCTCTCTTTTCTGGACGGTGGAACGGCTTCTTTTTCTTGTTACCTTCAATTTTCCCGCGGGGAAACTTTCTTTTCACTTGCTCCTGCCTCTTAATGGCTTGCCCTTGTACTTGTCGTTGTTCCACCTCTGGAGCTTGTGCCTGCCGTGTCTGCCGTGCCGGATCCTGCAAAAGATCTTTGAAAATTTGCATTTTATTACGATCATAGTAGGGTTTGATTTGATCAATGTTTGCGGAGCAGGTTTCACCATTCCTGGCTTTTAACACTACTACAGCGTGAGTTATTTTTTCTATGACATATGGTCCTTCAAATCGTGGAAAAAATTTGGCAGTTTTATCTTCTGGTGCTGAAGAAAGTGAATGCTTAATTTTTAACACTTCATCCCCTACTTTATAAGTTACTCCCCGTCGTTTCAAGTCATAATACAGCTTTTGTTTTCTCTGTGCTACTTCAGTATTCTTTTTTGCTTCTTTAATTAGTTTTTTCTATATCACCCATTTTAAATTCTGGGGCTCTTTGTTGCACATAAAATAATTTATCTAACGGCGTTATAATCTTTCTGCCTAAAAATAACTCAGCAGGAGTTTTGCCCGTTGTATCATGTTTTGCGGTCCTAAGGGCGAAAGCAAATTCATTGACATAGTTATCCCAGCTTTTATGAAAATTTTTTTTAACATAACTACGGATAATTTTCACTATATTTCTATTGACCCGTTCCGCTATATTTGATTGCGGCCGATACGGGACCATTTTTAAATGACGTATGCCCAGTTTTTGGCACATGTCTTCAAATATATTACTTACAAATTGAGGACCATTATCCGATATAACTTTTAGGGGCGCCCCGTATTTTAAAATATATTTATTTAAAATAGAATCAGTAACTAATTTCGCGGAGGCTCGTTTTAAGGGAACAATTTCGGTCCACTTACTAAAATGATCAACCATAACAAGGAGATAGCGACTTTTTTATTTAACTGACTTTTTGGGAAAGGGCCCAATAAATCGATGCCAATTATTTCATTTGGAAATTCGGATTTAATACTATTTAGAAACCCGGCCGGGCGGAAATTAATATAATTAACTGCTTGACATGTTGGGCAGGACTGGACATACGCCCTTGTTAACTTTTGCAGTTCAGGAAAATAGACTGCCTCGCGTACGCGTTGGATAGGTTTTTCGAATACCAGCATGAGAAGCTAAAGGGCTGTCATGGAGCTCCTGCAGGATATTTAATCTAAGACTAGCTGGGATAACAGGTCGAAATTCGTTGTTGGAATTCGTAGTTTTTGTATAAAATAATAGACCATCTATTAGTTCGTAATGGGCCGCCCTATTTCTTATCGCCACAATATCTTGGTGGCTAAAATTTTCAGGATCCTTTAAATACTCATAAATGCTTTCCAAACTCAGGATCCTTACCCAGTTCGGTTATTACAGTTTCTCGGGAATTTATTGTACATGCTGTGAGCATTGCCACCTTTACAGTATTACCTTCTTCATCTATTTTAATTCTGGATAGGGCATCTGCTACGATATTTTCCTTTCCGGGGGTATGCTTGTTGATTACCAGATTATATTCTTGTAAGCTTGAGTGCCCATCTTATTAACCTTGGGGATAAGTTTTTCCCTGAGTACAATCTAGTTACCGCCGCATGATCAGAAGTACACTGTTATTGGCGCCTTTCCAAAATAGACTCGGAACTTTTGCACTGCTAACAGAACTGCAAGTGCCTCTCTCTCGGTCGCGGAATAAGTTTCTTTGTGTTTGATTTAAAGTTCGGCTAAAAAATGCCACGGGCTGCTGATTTTGCGAAAGTACCGCTCCTACCGCATAATCCGAAGCATCCGCTGAAATTTCTAAATTCTCATCCTTTTCAGGAAATTTCAAACACAGGGGCTTGCGTTAATGCTTGTTTTAATTTTTCGAAAGCACTATTGGCTTCGGCCGTCCACGAGAATCTTGCCTTTTTCCTTTTTAATTTTAACAATGGTTCAGCAATAGCTGCAAAATCTTTTATAAAGGACCTATAATATGAACAAAGTCCTAGAAAAGAAGAGAGCTTCTTTGCCGTGTTTGGAGTCGGATACTTTTGTACAGCGATTATTTTTGATTCGTCTGTCTCGATTCCTTTCTGAGATATTTTGTAACCTAAATATTTTAATTCAGGGGCTGCAAATTTGCACTTTTCGACATTAACTTTTAGACCGGCCTCATTTAATAAAAGAAAACACCTGTCTTAAATCCTGTACATGTTGGTCGAGATTATCACTAGTAATAATGATATCGTCTAAATAGATAAATGTGGACTTTCCAAGAACAGGCCTTAACACAATGTCCATACATCGCTGAAATGTTGCCGGTGCCCCTGAAAGGCCAAACGGCATACGCAAAAATGCATAAGTGCCAGACTTGGTTATAAAAGCAGTCTTAGGCACGTCCTCAGGCCTAACCCCTATTTGAAAATAACCAGTCGTTAAGTCTAAAGTCGTCATATATTTGGTGGATGTTATGTTCCTTAGAATTTCTTCAATAATAGGTAACGGATATACCGGATATTTAGTTATGGAGTTTAATTTACGGTAGTCAATTGCGAATCTCCACCTTTTTGGATGTGTCAATGGATAGTCATTATTTTTCTTACATAAAACCACCGGGCTAGCATAACTACTTGAGATGTGCGTTATGATCTTTTTACGTAGCTTATCGGTGATATGCCATTCTATAATTTTTTCCTTATTCTTATCATACCGGTATGCTTTGTGGCGAACTGGCATTGAATCTCCGGTGTCAATACTATGGTTAGTAACCTGAGTAAATCCTGGAATATCACTAAATAACGAAGCAAATTCACTTACCACTTGTCGGATTCTTCGTTGCTCTTCATTAGGCAGGTGGTCAAGGTTTAACATCGGCGGTTCAGCCTTTTCTCCACGAACTGGTTTCATCGTCAGCTTAAGGGACGCTTCATTAAAATCCAGCGTTGCTTGTGCCTCTGAAAGAAAGTCTATTCCTAAGATAATATGTGCTTGCAGATTCTTTACTATGAAAAACATAACCTTTACTTGTTCGTCCTTGATACGGACATACAGCGGTAATTTACCTATACACTTACATCTTTCTCCTTGCGCAGCTAACACTGTCGTATTATCCGAATTATATATGCGGTATTTACGAAAATACTTCCTAAAAAAATCTTCTGCCACACAGGAACACTGCGCGCCTGTATCCAAGAGTGCGGTGGCTGGGATATTATTCACCAACACTTCAATCTTCGGAAGAGTCAAATTTTTCACCATTACTGTATTTAACTTGAAGGAAGAGGGTTTTCTTGGCCTTCGGATTTCCGCACCCTCCCGTCAGCAGAAATCCGTTTTAGTTTAAATTATTTTTCATTTCCGTGCTTTCCTTTTTTCCACTGGCCTTGAGACTTTTTTCCTGGATTGCTATTGAACTGTCGACGTTCGCCGGCGGCTGTTTTTGAATGCTCGGGTTTCCTTGCCCACTGATTCGCTTTGCTTTGCTTCCGTAGCCGTGTGCTTGAGTTTGCTGTGGTCTTGGCGCACCAAATTGGTTTCGCTGTTGATATACTGGCGTCTTCTTTCAATGTCCGCCGTTCTTCTACTTTCAAACTGGATTGCTAGCTCAAATAACTTTTCCAGTGTAGTCGGATTTCTTAATTCAATAAAGTCTTGCACTTGGGGAAGTAACCTCGGCAAAATCACTTGAATTATCTCAGGATCCGGACGGTTTCCATACAAGAGTTTGAAGACGTGAATTTTTCTTAAAATAAAGGCTTGAAGAGATTTTCGATTCGTTGCTGATATATGCTGAAAAGTTCCGTTTCTAATTTCGCACGATCCCTTACGACAGGGAAGGCTTTTACTAGGGCAGTCTTGAAATTTTTCGTAAGTATAGGTGGGACTTCCTGCTTGACCCAAGAGACTTCTGCCTATACATTTGAACCAATTAAGCGCTTGGCCCCTCAAAGCGCTGGTAGCTAAGGTAACTTTTTGAAACTCGTGCACGGGGTAGAGCATGAAGTGGTCATCCAATTTTTCCAAAAAACTGGTTACCGGTGAGTTTCCATTAAATGTTGCTTCTGGTTTCATCGAAGCGCGCATGGTCTGGACGATGTAACCAAATCCTTCCAGGGCGGCAGCTGGCATTTCTGGATTCTGAGCCGCTTCTGCAGGCAGCACAGGTTCTTCTTGAAACTCGGCCATGGTTATTCTTCTTCGTTGGGCGCCACTATCAGGTTCAATGTTCCGTCTTACTTTCTTCGGGAACATGCAAGGACCTGACTCGGAACAGAGAGCTTACTAAAGCTATGTTCAATAACTGTGGGAAGTAGACAGGATACACAAGAAGGGTATACAAAACCCTTTATTTTTCTCTATTTACAATAATTTCCGTACTTCGGAATACAAAGACCCACTACTTGTGGTCTAAACGTAAAAATATAAAAAATAAAACTAAACTCTTAACTTTGGAAATAATAAACGTGGACGTGGAAGATTGGCCTTATATTAACAGGAAGCCGTATGTAGTACAGAGAACTGTTGAACACTACAATACGTTTAAAATTATCAAGAGGATTAAACCTCTGGCCTGGAAGGCAACCAGCAACTGAGTAAAACTTCTAAGGTAAGCGGCCTGCTTCGACTAACTGCTTCCTCTCTCTCGCTTGGCAAAAAGCCACAACTTAAATACTTGGCGTTCGCCAGACAAACTTTGCATAAATACATTAACGCTTATAATTCTGGCCGGAAGTAGAAAATAAGAAGTGATAGTAAAGATTTAAAATAAAATAAACGTTAGTAAAACTTAAGATCCTTACAGTGTACATGGATAAAGTCAAAGGAGTGCACAATGCCATTTTTGTGCAATTCGGGGATTTTTTATAAGTGAAAATAGGTCGACGTGTACATGGATAAAGTCAAAGACGCAATAGGTGCAAATTTTTTTTAAAGTAAAAATAAGTCGATGTGTACATGGATACCATATTTGTGCAATTGTTTGTCTCGTTATTTTGGCTTTGTTTAGCACAAAAATCGCTGCTTTTTGGCACAAAAATTGTCGCTTCGCATGCCAAAATAATGAGTAAAAAAATTGCACAAAATCAGTATCCATGTACCACCAAAAATCGCCAAGTTTCGCCAAGGGGTACCCTAAAGTATACTTTTACCAATCTGTTTTATTGAAGTACACTGTTCTTATTCTCTGGGACTCGCAGGCATATCCGCACTACTTCAGCCACTCATTACAGTTTACAAAAGTGCTTTCTAAAATTCATTAATTTACTAAATTTTTATTTTATAAAACTTCTGTATTTCATGCCTTCTTTCTGATATTTTAGGTCCGTGATGTGTCTTGTGGCTATGGATTCACAGTATTTGCTGCATCTAATGATGAGAATGATTTCTCATTATTTGGTACTGGTTTGAATAGTGATTTTCAAATTGGCTATCAGTGTGGAAGAAAGGGTAATTATTTTTTATGTGTACTCTTTAAAAAATGGAATTATGAAATAGGAATGTAATATAAATGTTTGTTATACAGTGTTTCTTGTTTTACTATAAATTATATGCTTGTGCATTTATGATTTTATACATTATTCTAATAACTAACTCAGATGATATATGAATACTTTGATTTGGTTGATTGAGTAGTTTGATAAATTTGGCATTTAAGTAGTTTAATAAAAGCACATTTAGAATTCTTTTGCCGATTACTCAAAAATAGTGATTAGGAAAAGGATTTTTTTTTGGTCAATGCTGAATTTTTGCCGACCAGTGTATAAATAGTGTGCACAACATTTGATAAAAACGTGTAAATTCTTTATATTATTATAGCTGCATTCAACACTTGTCATAGACAATTGTTAAAATTTTAAGTATATGTGATAGCATAATTACGAGGGCTATCCAGAAAGTAGATTACGTTTTGGAATAAAAAAATAAACAAAGTATAGGAAACAAATTTTATTATATACAGATGAAAGCCACACTCAAATACTACTTTTCTACATAGTCACCATACAAATTAAGGCATTTATCGTAGCGATGTACGAGCTTGGAAATTCCTTCGTCGAAAAATTCGGCCGCCTGCGCCTTCAACCACTTCGTTACCTCTTCTTGCAGCTGTGCGTCGTCATCAAAACGCTGCATAGCCAGCCACTTCTTCATTGCTGGGAATAGGTGGAAGTCGCTCGGTGCCAGGTCGGGACTGTACGGCGGATGAGGAAACAACTCCCACTTAAAAGATTCAAGAACTTTACGAGTGACATTTGCCGTGTGGGGCCGGGCGTTGTCGTGAATCAACAAGATCTTAGAGCTCAACATTCCTCTGCGCTTGTTTTGAATTGCTCTTCTGAGTTTTTGGAGAGTTTGGCAATACCTTTGAGAGTTTATTGTAGTGCCTCTTTCCAGGAAGTCCACCAAAATTACCTTTTCTGTCCCAAAAAACAGTCGCCATCATCTTCCTTGCCGACATTGTTTGCATGCATTTCTTGGGTTTTTGGGGAGAACTTGTGTGCCCCCACTGCATTGATTGCAATTTCGTTTAACAGTTCACATGTTTCACCCATGTTTTGTCACCAGTAACGATGCGATCGAGTAAAGAGTCACCATCCTTATGGTAAGCGTCCAAGAAGTTCAACGCTGCAGCCATTCGCTGATTTTTGTGGTCCTCTGTCAAGATTTTTGGAATCCATCTTGCACAAAACTTGTGGTAACCAAGCTTTTCGCTGATGATTTCGTGCAACAAACTTCGCGAAATTTGTGGAAAACTCAAAGAAAGTTCCGTTATTGTGAAATTTCGATTTTCACGGACTTTAGCATCGACTTTTTCGAGAAGTTCGGCGGTCACTATGCTGGGTGTCCCACTTCGATCTTCGTCGTGAACATTGGTTCGGCCATTTTGAAATCTTATGACCCACTGACGCACTCCACCTTCAGTGATAATGTTGTCCCCATACACTTCACGAAGCTGCCGATAGATTTCTATCGGTTTACAGTTTTTTGCAGTCAGAAACCTTATTACTGAGCGCACCTCGCAGCTCGCGGGATTTTCAATTAACGCAGACATTTCAAACCGTCACAGTATCTGAACGGAGCACAGCACGAACCTCTCACTAGCACGGCTAGATGCAGACTGAGCTGCGCAACGCTCTGACCCCAAGATGGCCGCGCTAGCCCCGCCCCTAGCGGACACAGACGGAAACGTAATCTACTTCCTGGATGGCCCTCGTATATTCAGTTAAAATTGATTAGTTTGCTGCTGTCATGAAATATCTTTTCATCTTGCTTCATATTTTGGCTGTATTATTTGATTCATTATAAAGCATTCTTATTCTTAGCAGATTGTTATTGTAAACCTAAGTTGTAAAATACTGATTTTTTTTTTTATCATCAGTGTAATAGAAAACATAAGTAATAATAATTTAAGATACTCAGTACTTTTCTATTAATGGGGTGCTGGCTAGTATAAAACATAAGCAATAGCATGGTATCTAAGTAGATGGTAGTAAACCTAATGATACATAAAGCTTCATGGGGAAGGAATATGAACTTCTAATAACAATAATTGTAATTATAGAATTTGCTATAATTTTATAGTATAATATATATGTTTTATGCAAGCAGTGCTGAAGTGCATGATACTGAAATTGGAATTCTCCGATGTTCCTTTTTTTAAAAAAAAATCAGAGAATTGCACCAATTCGGCATTGTACAGTGTTACATTCGTGCGTTAAGCATTGCATAACTATTTATGATGTGATATACACAGGCTAAGCACATTTGGCTACTGATGCTCCACTCCGTTTGGCCGCTGGTACAAAAAGGTACCAAATGCACCGATAATGATGTGTATGAATTGAATTTAGAAATTTTTTTATTATTATGTTATAACTTGCAGGAAAAAGAAGAAATAGGCTTGAAAAGCAGTGCTTTAAAATGAAATATGAATTTAAAGAACCTGTTATGATGAATTATGTTTATTTTATTTCATAGTCTGTGATATTAGTAGAAAAGTACTTTAAAATTGTCTTTTCATACATTTCAAACTGCCATAAAGTATTAGTAGAAAAATAATAGAAGTGATCATGAAGAAATAATTCATTAAAAGAAATTAAATATTTCGAAAAGTGAGTTACACCGTTAAAGCAATGCTAATCTTGAAATAATTGTGAGTGGTAAATCCTCTAAAGTTTTGTCCTTTTTTGTTTTATAACATTACTAAAAATGATTTTAACAATTTCTTTGCCATTTTGTTGATGTATATTATACAGATAAAAATAAAAAAAATGATATGACTACATGAAATGCAGAATAACCCTAGTTAAGAGGGTATAACAAGTCCCTTACTGTGACTTTGTTGTGTAGTGAGGGAAGGGGACTTTTATGCAGTAAGTGAAGCTGTTATTACAGTTGTTTAATGTATTCAGTAATATTAAGTAATGCTTTTTTTTTTTTTTTTTTCCTTTCCAGGTAACTCTCTTGAAGCTCTTGCTGAACCAGTACCTATAGCTCTACCATTATACAACTTAAATACTAAAGCTCTTAAAGTGGGATGTGGCAGAGCCCACACTGTAGTGATTACAGATAAAGAAGGAAGTAAGCTTAATGCAGACATGCAGACTTTTATTGTTTTTTGAATTCTGAAACATAATATTGAATAGTAAAATTTAATATTCAAAGACAGTAAATTATGTCTAATTATACTTCTGTATCTGCTGATTCTGTATCCTATTAGCTATAATTATCTTTAGTTAGAAGAAATTTTTGAAAAATTAAAGGATTGAATGGTTCCATATTATTAACCCATGCAAGCAAGAGTAAGTAGTAACATTTAAATTATTTGAGGATTTAAAGCTAAGGTTCCTGAATTGCATGGAACCAGACATATTGTCTCTTTTAGAGAATATATCTGAGACAGAAAAGAAGTTTATTGTATAAGTACCTGGCAAACTATTTTACTGTGTGGAAATTTGTCAGTAAAAACTATACTGTATTAATGCTTATTACAAAAATATTGTTTTGTATACAACATTTGATGGACCTCTTTTGTTTCTGCGACCAGATTTAGGAATGAATGTATGAATGGATGTCTTCATATATGCATGTGTATATATATATATATATCATACACATATGTATGTATGTGTGTATATACACACACTTACACTGACATACACACGTGATACACATACATTTCTGAATCTGGCCCTAAGAATGCCTGTTTGATATCATCTCCAGTTTCATGGACGATGTTACATGGAAATACAGATGTTGGAAAAAATATACTTCAGGGTACCCCTTGGTGTAAATTGGCTATTTTTTGGCGCCATTCCTGTTTATGTGCAACATCCTTCTCAGTGAAATGGCATCCAAAACATAATGCATAAAAACATAATTAAAACAAAAAATGGTACTATTCGGTTTTGAGGGCCGTAAAAAATCGCCAAACTATTGTTGATGCCAGTGTTGCCAAAAATAACTGCGGCAACCCTGATGCAAGAAAGGAAGTATAATAGTAAATAGCTATCTAAGTTTGATGTTTTAATTCAGAGATGAAAGTTTAATTTCATATAATACTTTTTTTATTATTATAATTTATATAAAAAGGCTAAACATGACTGAATGAAGAATAAATCATTATTATAATTCATATAAAAGTTGCTAAACATATTTGATTGGATGCCTGCATCGCTATTTCGCTACTGAGTTATCGCTAAAGCACAATTTCATCTCATTGAATGTTCAAACATAATTTTCTATAATGAATGATGCCTTTTCTTTGAAAAAATTCTTGGTAAAGTGCAGAATCGCCCACTTATTTGTTTACCACTTTTTACAAGGGTTAAAAACAATTGGATTTTTGTCAATTTTCTTTGACTTTTTAAGTGAAAATAGGTAGACGTGTACGTAGATAAAATCAAGGGTGTGTGCAGTGCCATTTTTGTGCAATTCTGGGTTTTTTTTTAAAGTGAAAATAGGTGGATGTGTACATGGATACCGAATATGTGCAATTCTTAAAAACGTGTCAAGCAGTGGGTAAATCTGCACTTTACCCAAAATGCTATTGCAGACTCTTCATCATGGGCGATTCCCAAATTGTTAAATCCATAGGATATCAAAAAAGGATTTAAAAATTAAACTAATATTTCAATGGTGTCTAAGAAATATAGAACTATCTAAACTTATGCAATCTGAAATCAGCGAGTACGCTAGATTTGGCATGCTGTTAAGTAGGCGCGTTTGCTAGATTTGGCACTTTAGCGCATACATTTTCGCTGCAATTTTTTTACGGTCCTCAAAACGGAATAGTACCCAAAAAATATATAATCTCAATAAACTGCATTTTAAATCAAACAGAGAAATAGTGTAAGAATGGAAATGCATGTTGTCTAATCTACACAGTACAAAAAGGAAATATTGACTTACATTATTTGTCTTGTGTGTGGCAAACAGAATTCTTTAACAGCATCCAAAAACTGTTTAAAATTATCTGAAATCTGTATATTGCCATTAGCACATAAATTCACAAAAGTAAGAATAAAAAATATCCTATGTAGTGCTGAATTGTCAGACAAATCCATTCAAAGCCATCTGAATGATCTTTATGTTCGACCATACACGTTTCCTTCATACAAACAGGACACTTATAATGAATATTGAGTAAACCTTCATTTACACATTAGTCAATTAATGCTTTTTTCCTGTTCATTCCAAATTGTGCAGAAACTTCAAATTAATATTATCATGGTAGCTATTTTACAGTGTAAAGCACAAAATAAGGAACATACTTCCTAAGCGACATCCAATGCAGAAAGAAGCCTTTAAAAATCAAAATCACCACAATCATGCATTACAACCAATCACGTCATGATAGGGTTTCTAAAACATACTCCGTAAAATATTCAGGTTACCATAAATGAAACAATAACTTGTTGATAAATAAATCAACAACTTGGCAATAATCCAGGAGGTACCCAAAAATATAGACTACCCAAGATGTAGTATGGTATATTTAAAATATTAAGTATTTATATAATGATACAAAGTCAGCATTTGGGCAGATTTTTTTTTGATCAGACTTGCATTAAAAATTGGATTATATTATATAACATTTTTTAGTACCTTCTAAGGTATTCTTCTGTAATGAGGACCAGTTCAGAAACATATGTATGTATACATGTGAATATGTATGTATATGCATATATGTGTGTATATATGCACACACATACATATGTTACATACATATACTTTATTGCAGGGGTGGCCAAAGTGCGGCTCGCGAGCCTCATGTGGCTCTCACAGGCAATTTGTGCGGCTCATGCATATAAAATATATGTATGAAATATGGTAAACTAAAACTATTCAGTGGTCAAAAAGAAGTAATTAATTAGTTTAGACTCTTTTTACAAAGTTATCAAAGATTTCTTTCTATTAAAAACCTCCTCCACTACTTCTATAATGATGTAAATATGAACTTGTGGCTGTTAGAAAATCTAGATGTGGCTCTCAAACATTCCTGAATTCAAACGTGCGGCTCTTACTGACATGAAGTTTGGCCAACCCTGCTATATTGCATACATGAATCCATCCGTCTATCCATGCATGCATACGTACATACATTTCTAAATCCGATCTTGATAACAGAAGAGTAAATTTTCTGATTCCTACCAAAAAGTTGCAAAGAAGTACTGTATATTTTTTAACCCTCTGAGCAGCACGGGTTTTTGTATCTATCTTGAAAACCTGTCTTTAAACAGCCTTTATTAGCTAAATCTGTTATTTACTTATTTTAATCTCTTTTTTTCATAAACTTACATTTATTAAAATGACATTTATATTATAAAAGTAAGAAAGCAAAATATCTTAAAATTATAAGCTGATATATACTAAGTGACAAAACATCTCATGACCGGATTTAGCCAGTCATGGCACTGCTAATATAGGCTGAGAGTGCATATTTCTTGAAAAATTTACCCAAATTTCAATAGCCATATATGAGTCAAAATGAAAATACTGTAATGTTTAATTATGCCATGACGAGGGTGAAAATTTTGCCGAGCAGGTTGAATCAGGTGGAATGTTATCCAATCAAATCATTGTAAAGTAAAACATAAAATGCCAATGATGATAGTTTTAACTCTGGTAACCTTATCTGGAGCTAGCACATTTTCTGCATTCATTTGTTGGATTATATATGATCTGTGGTATTTGTGCCAATAATGTAAATATTCACATCCTATGAATCTTAAATGATCAAATTTTATGGAGTGCATTAAGAAAAAGTGCAATCAAAGTTCCAGAAACTGGTTTCAACATAGCTGCATTTTGTTTGCAACAGCTGTTTGCTTTATTGTTGGGCAAAGAATAACAATGAAATTCTTTTGAAGAAGAATTGGGATTATGCTGAAAGACAACTGGTGTAATTACGCTTGAGAAGTATGTAAGTATAAAAATTAGGGAGCACTGGATATGTTGAAATATGATAAAAGAGCACTGGATATGTTGAAATATGATAAAAGGGTGACCAGAGAAATGTGTCTCTCCACAGTTGTCGATGAGTTTGCAAATGCTATCCAAAGTCACGAAAGAGTTTGCAACATTTCATTGGAGGTGCAGATAATTGGAAAGTAGGAAGAAAATTTTTTTTAAAAACATAATGGCATCCATAATCTAGAACAGAGATTTCTAGCCTGTACTTACCCTTTTAAAATAACATTCTTCATTGACCCTCTGACACTTTTCTTTATAATATACATAATAGTGCATAATCATAATATAATTAATTGCATATAAATAACTTAGTTAAAAATTAGGCTAAGAATATGAACAAAAGTTTTGAAAAGAAAAAAAGGCTTTATTATATTTATGTTTTATTATTGTGTGCATTATTAATAATTTAAATTTTACTAATATAAGCAGGTTTTCAGATACAAAAATCACATATACTAAATGCATAAAAGTTCAATTTTAATGAATATAATGACTGCATATGAATTAATTGATGTATTGATGCAGTTTTTTTAATATTTGGCATACCACTGGTTAAGTCACCTCATTGAAAAATATTTAACCTCTTGTCCGGTAAATTATTAACTAAAGCCTATTTCCATTAGGTAAGACAAGAGAAAAGTCAGTAATGTTGGTTTGGTAACAACTTTTATTTCTTGATTTTTTTCTTGTATGACTTTTAAATATCAAAACTTAGCATACCCATGTGTTTTGAATAAGACTTGCATTTGAGCATCTTCCTTCAGCACTATGAACTCATCTTGCATCATAATTTTAGTATAGTTTTCCTTTACATTTATTTTATATATCTTTCATGCTATATGATTTAGCTGTATATTAATAATCAATTAATTATCAGTTTTATGAATAAATATTTTGTAACCAATGGGATTTTGATTATGCTGATCAGTTGCCAGTGCATATTTGTCTCTCAACCTTAGTCGATTCCTTGATAATCATTATTGACCCCTTTTAAAATTCCATCAACCTCCAGGGGCATTACTGATGTATCAGAAATCCCAGATCTAGACATTTTATATATAGGAACTTAGTTTTATATTCTTGTATTAGAAACTTTTACTGCTTGT